CGGCACCTGTGTTGCTCTGTAAGCTGGAGAAGATCTTTCCACCCGGCTTCTTCTTACCGATGCAACATCTGATTGTGCACCTCCCGTCCGAGGCACGTTTGGGGGGGCCCATGCAGGCCCGTTGGTGCTATCTAATCGAGAGATGTCTAAAGACTCTTCACAAAAAATGTACAAATAAAGCCAGAATTGAGGCTTCCATTGCAGAGGCATGCCTTCGGGAGGAGGTGGCAAACTTCACAACGCTATACTACAAGCCGAACCTTCCTAGCAATCATAATCCACCCTCTCGTTACAATACTGGCGAAAATGAATCGACCCTGAGCCTTTTCCAAGGCCAACTCGGCAGCGCAAGTGGATCAACCCCAAAGCTATTGGGAAATGAAGAGTGGCGCAGTATCATGCTATATGTGTTGAATAACCTTACCGAGGTGCAGCCGTTCATCAAGTAAGTTCTCAACGAACTTATTTCAATATGCCGTCACTATGCTGCATCCAACCCCATTGATTCTCGTTCGGACAGGGAATTTGTTCGTGAATTCTGGCATCAATCAAGGGATCCTACCTCGCATGAACAAGACACCCTTGTTTCGCGGGGTGCAGGAGCGGGGAGGCCTAATTTCATTTCTTGGTTCAAACAAAAGGTAATGTCCAATTTAGCTCGTACGTTCGATCGTCCAAGGTGATCGTACGTTTGATTAATATAACGATCTATCATGATTCACCTTGCAGGCCTAGATCGATTCGTCCATGAGCGACGAGTTGAAACAGGTTGCAAACGGCTGTGATGTTAGGGTGAAGTCATTTACCGGCTATGACGTGAACGGATATCGCTTCCACACAACAAGTTACGAGCAGATTCGGCCCAAACAAAAAACCACAAATAGCGGAGTTTGTACGTCCGGCACTGATGGCCTCGACTATCATGGTAGAGTTGAGGAAATCTATGAACTCTCATTTCATGGAGACAAACCTCTTAAACCTGTCATGTTCAAATGCCACTGGTTTAATCCTCGATCAACGAGACGAACCGCTCATCTTGGGCTAGTGGAGATTCGAGAAGATTCCATCTATCCTGGAAAAGATGTCTACATTATGGCTCAACAGGCCGTGCAGGTGTATTATACTCGATACGCAAACCAAGACAAAGAGGATCTTAAGGGTTGGGCTATTGTGCACCAGGTATCTCCACATGGTAAACTACCTGCCCCAAACGATGATGATTACAACTTCAATGCAAACACATATGATGGTCAGTTCTATCAAGAAGATGGGCTACCAGGCACGTTTGAGATAGTCTTACCCGAATCAATCGAAATGGAAGTAGACAACGAAACGGTTGATGACGAGGTCGATGGAGATGTGGTGGTAAATGCCAAGGACATAGTAATGCTTGAGCGATTACTTCTAGGCAATGACGACGATGACAACATAAAACCTTCGGATAGTGTTGCCCATTTGGACAATTTTGACAGTGATGATGAGACCTATGATCCCAATCATGAAGATTATTCCTAATACATGTAATACTATGATTTTTTAATTTGTGTTTTGTTTATATATTTTGAATCTATTTCTAATATATGTACTAATTAGTCTTGTTCATTCTTTGTGATTGCAGGTGATTGGACAAAGATGGCGAGCAGACGTCCACGCCGTGACACGCCCTCGGTTTATGGGAGAGACCGCCCTCTCCTTCAAGGTGAGGGGTCGTCGTCCAGGGTAGCGTCCGTAGGAGGTGACGAGAGGAGGACCAGGGGCAGCCGCCGCAGGAGGCAGCGGTCTCCTCCCTCGACACGTGATGAGGTGCTGGAGGAGGAGCACGTGACGGCCATGGCCTCGTCCTCGTCGGAGGACAAGAGGGGTCAGCAGACGGGCGAGGGAGGCGAGGCGCTCGAGGGCGAGGGAGGCGAGACACTCGAGGGTGAGGGAGAGGGTACCGCTACCCAGACTCTCTACGAGCGAGGTCCCGCGAGCCTCCCTCCGGTTCCGCTTCCTCACAACCACTCAGTGATTCGGCCTATGGCAAAGAGGTAAGTAACTATGGATGTTATCACAACTACTTCATAAGATATGTTGGAAATCTTAAGAGAAACTGATAAATTTTCTTAATCACTTGTGTAGGGCCTGGTTGGTTTTGTCGGGTACTCCAAAGACGCACTTCATGAGCATCCTTGGTGTTTTGTGCAGAAATGGTACCTGGCATTGTGCAACTATCCGAAGAACCGTGGTGCGGGAGCCGGCCTCCAACTAGGACAGTAATGCCGCTGGTCACGGATGACACTTACCGCAACAAGCGAGAGCGAGTAGTATTAGCGGAGTTTTGGGTAAGTCTCTCTCGCACAACATTGCTTAATACATCGCATTCTTTGGTTAAATCTTTTATTGAAATAATGAATGGATACATTAGTTTTGTATGCGTAAATATTTCAAGGCAAGAAGGACTTGAGGCCCAAAGCGGATCGGGCGGCTACGGCAGCTTGTAGGAAGTACGTCACCGAGATGCACCACCATGGGCGCGTCGCCCAGCCCACATAGACTACTACAGTCGTCAAGATTTAGGCAAATCCCTCCCCAAGCCTCAAGCAAGACGGATTACTGCCGACTGGACCAAGACTTTGAGGTAGGCGAATAACATTCATAATGATTCGTTTTGATATTAAGTAGGTTCAATTTCATCTTCTTATATGTCAAATATTCGATGACTTGTAGGTGATTCCTGGTGGTGCCGATCGTATCCCGAGTCTTTGGGCCATGATCGTGGACAAGTGGTTATCACAGACTTTGTTGACACGCATTTGAGGCGGCGAGAACAGTCGTTCCCCGATGAGGCAAGGTCCAACTCACCATCAAGGCGCACCGTAGCCTCCCGGATACAAACAAGCATACATAAGTGATTTCTTTCATTTATTTTGACGCTCAATTCTGCTTGATTTCTCACCATCTTCCCGTCTTTCTCGCAGGAGGCTGCGCACCCGGGAGAGGAGGTCTCAGAGTTCTCTGCGTGGGCTATGTCCCACATGGGTAGGGCATCGTCCTTTGTCTCCTTCAACCCGGCTGCCCCGCCCCAGGCATACTCTGACCCGAATGTGTACACTAAAGTCCAAGAGTACACGTCAACGGTAAGGGAGATCTATGGGAAAGATTACAATGTGCGCACTGAGCCCATTGATGCAGAGGTGATCATGAGGTTTGGAGGAGGCAAGAAGCACGGGCGGCTGTGGATTGCAGACGGCGCCATCGACTCCACCACTGTTCCCTCCCTCGACGCTATCCGAGCACGGAGCATGAGCTCCAGCCAGCCCATACGTCCATGGCCTTCTCCAGCACTGCAACAGGTCCAAGCACTCCAGGTAATTCCTGTTTTACTCATCGTACGTAGATATTTACACACCTAAATTAGATTTTCATTACTGATACATTAGAGTGAAATATTGTAGGCCGAGCTACAAGAAATAAAAAGGCAAAGTCAAGAGCAGAACGCGGAGCTGACCACACAGCTGCAGGCCCAGAAGGTCGCATTCGAGGCCGCGTAGAAGCAGATGGCGGAGATGATGGTATTCATGCAAAGTCTTAGGCAAGCATCGGGTGTACCTGTGCAGTTTTCAGCTCCACCACCTCCTACTCCTGCAGCTACTCCTGTAAGTATGAAAGTTCACTTTTCGCTTGTGCTTTGCATGTATGTCGGCCTTCATGCCGTTGTGGATGTCGGCGTTCGTGCTGTTGTGGATGTCGGCATTCGTGCCGTCGTTTCTTGCAGGTTTTGGAAACCTCCCCGTGTAGGGGAGGTGCTGCCGAAATTTTCAATTGAGTCTAATCTTTTTGTATTCCTACAATACTAGATGCAATCTCTAAGTTCCAAAACTATTTTCCCGGATTACTCACACATGCAATCTCTGCTCCTTTATGCAGCTTCCGTCCACGGGTTCCAATCAACCCGCTAGTGCATCACCGGGTGATCCTGCTTTTCCTTCACCATCGTCTCATAGGCTAGCTTGATGAGGACTAGTGCTAGGTGATGTGGTTGGACTTTAGCGTGATTTGTGATTTATGGTTGTGACTTGTGCTTGGATTTCATTAACTTGTCGTAATAAACATGTGAATGATGATGAACATGTGACTTGTCGTTGTAATATATTGTGATTTGTGGTTCACAATTATGGTTGTGATATATTGTGAGAAAATGGGTTCTGTGTGATATATATATGTATATATATGAAATGCTTGTGTCGATGGAATGCAAAAAACAAAAAAAATTAAATTTCTGCCTCTTTGTCAAGGGCAATGACCAAGGCCCTCGGCAAAGAAGGGTCCTTTGCCGAGGGCCCAAGCAATAGCCCTCGACAAAGATTTTTTTGAAAAAAATCCTGACAATTTCTTTGCCGAGTGCCAGGGAGCAGGCCCTCGGCAAAGGGTTAAAAAAAATTCAAAAAAACCATTTCTTTGCCAAGGGCCGGCCCTCGGCAAAGAATTTTTAAAAAATCCTAAAAATTTCTTTGCCGAGGGCCAGGGAGGAGGCCCTCGGCAAAGGTTTTTTAAAAAAAATAAAAAAATTTATTTGCCGAGGGTTGGCCCTCGGCAAAGAAACCGCCAACGGCGCCGGCGCCTGACGGCTTCTTTTCTTTGCCGAGGGCCATCCTGGCCCTCAGCAAAGACCCCTTCGCCGTCTAAAAATTCCCCGAGGGGTCTTTGCCGAGGGCTAGAGGCCCTCGACAAAGCATGCGCCTCCAGTAGTGATGTGTATTCTTCCCTGCATACTATAAAGACGTATTGAGCTATACATTATCTGTACGAGGCATATATGCAATTCTATCCTAAGGAAGCATTTACATCGACTGGAGCATCCTGGTGCTGTTGAACAAGATGTGGAATCTGAGAAAGAAGATGATAATAAACTGGAGGATGAGATGCATGAGGACAAAGGTTTACCTTCTTTTCTGATTACTCAATCAACTATGTTTCCAAGATAATGAAGTGATTTCTGATGTATGTTCTATTTGTAGATGATAAGCGATATTCGCCTGAGCCTATACCTCAGCACACAGAAAACCAATTTGAAGAGGAAGATGGATCCTTCTCTCCACAGCTAATGCATGGCAATGAAGATGAAGATGCAATTGATCCTGAAGAGGACAAAGCTGAGCTGGTAGAGTCCTGTGTTTCTATTTCTAATAGTATTAACAGAAACATGATTGGAACTGTACTAGTTATTTGTTGCAGTGCAGTTAACTGAGTAGTTTAATTGTCAAGTACAGATGGTTAGTAACTGGACTCCATATTATGCAACAAAAGAGGCTAACTAACAATATTAGGACAAAAAGTTCTACTGATATTTTTTTCGTTAAGAAGACAACCTTTCAAGCTTCTGTAGGCCTTCCTGCATGTCTTACCCTAAGAGGGGGGCATTGATTCATTTAGATCTTACTTTTGATGGCAATGCTCCTTATGGTGACTTAAATTTGAGGGCTTTCTAGAGTTCATATACAAACACAATGGGTGAAGATTTTTCTTAAGAACATCAAGTTATTAGGGTTTATTTTATGAGTTGATTAGATAATTAGAATGACGTTGGCAACTCATACTTAATGCTTTTAATCATCTCCAGGACCGAAAACGTGAAGCTATAGTTTTGGAGCATCAAAGGAAAGTTGAGGAAGCCATGAAAGCAAAGGCAAGAGTACCTGATGAGATGGAGATGAAGGCCATAAAAATGATGGGAGCTATGGAGGAAGGAGATGCAGTATTTGGTGCCGGTGCTGAAGTGAACCTTGATTCACAGGTTTGGATGATTTTCCTTTGACCCCATTGCGTTTTTAGCATGGTAACATGACGATAGTTGTATATCTATATTTTCCAATATTCTGCCTTGATACCGGATTAGCGAGAGAGTTCTCAGAATTCAACTGGGATATGGCGTGACTGTGACAATTTTTTAGTGTTGATCTAGAAGGACCGATGGTTATCTTGCTATAATCTAGACCATAGATAACACACCTTAAGCTACACCAAAATTTTCAAATAATCTGTTGACTCATGTAATTGTAATTGAGTATATTTTGACAGTTTAATATAGGGGTAATGCCATATTTGAGTTCGATACCATGGGTGGTAACAAGTTTAACACACAAGAAGCGTGATTTAGCAACTTTGGTGCATCCTACCGCATATGAACTCAGCTGGTTTCTGATGGCATATGCTTGTTCAATATGCTCGCAGGTGTACTGGTGGCACGACAAGTATCGACCAAGAAAGCCCAAGTACTTCATTCGGGTGCACACTGGATATGAATGGAATAAATACAACCAGACTCATTATGACCATGATAACCCACCGCCTAAAATTGTTCAAGGCTACAAGTTCAATATATTTTACCCTGATCTTGTGGATAAATCAAAAGCACCAACGTACGGTATTGAGAAAGATGGAAGATCATCAGATTTGAATTATATATATATACAGAGAGAGAGAGAGTATATTCAGTAGCCAGCTACAAAATAAGTTATTCTGTAGCCACCTCCATTTACGATAATTTTATATACTAATTTACGATAATATCAATACATATTTATTTACAATAGTTGGATTACTATAACACATGGGAATATTTACCGTGACATTATAGTAAACCACTTAGTAAAAAGTTACTATAATCTCGTAAATTAACATAGTAATTATCGTAACTCAAAGTGGCTACAGAATAAGTTATTTTGTAGCCAGCTTTAAAATATATATATATGTGTGTGCGTGTGTGTTCTGGTCGAATTTAAATTATAAATTTGAATTTTTTTTGCGAAAAAATATACTGTAGGGACGGTTCTAGATTGAACCGCCCCTACAAATATGTATTATAGAGGCGGCAGGTACTACAACCGCCCCTATAAATCGATTTGTAGAGGCGACTGGTACTACAGCCATCCCTACAAATCGATTTGTAGGGGCGGTCTGGGAACCACTCCTACAAATACATGATTTGTAGAGACGGTGTGGTAGGGGCAGCTGACCGAACCGCCTCTACAAATGATCTACAACCGCCTCTACAAATGTCTATTGTAGTAGTGCATGAACCTATGTGCATCTCCATCGAGCAGCAAGGACTGAGCACAGGTCCATCCTCACAATCCTTTGAACCCACCAGCCATCACTCTACTCCACATCACCCAGCATCAAGCACCATACTTGGTTGAAGCGCCGGCCACAAACCTCCTAAACAAGAACCACAAAGATCCAGAAGAGAACTAAGGCTGGTGTAGACTCCAGATCAAGTGGACACCACCCTCATACGCAACTCGTAGGCGTTGGAGAACACCATAACGAGACGAAGACGGTGCCCAAGGGATTCCAAAAGCACATCCCTACCACTGCATTAGTGATGTCACCTTGGACACCAAACCTAGAAAAACGAGGACCTAATCGCACACCTGGGATCCATGCTCTTCTCTCCTCGCGATGGCATGAAGGTCGTCAGACACATGTGAAAAGTTGAGTTTGACCCACCTTCAGAAATAGGTGGAACCACTTTTTGCCTAATAAACTACCATTTAGCTCGTTTACACACCGTTTTCCGTTTAATAGGTTGTTTTTACTGTTTAAACAACCATTTTTCTCATTTAAACACCCGTTTTGCCTAAATAATGGGCTAAATAGTAGGTGACCGAATGTTTACTCTTTAGCGTTTAGGATAACATTGGGTGGAACACAATAAATCATTTTTTTCCAAATCAAGTTCAATGAAGACAAAACTTAATAAAGTTATAGTATTTGAAAAGAACAATAAGTTTGTAGTTGATGAAATTTTCTTTTGAAACCATTTGAGTCCCAAAAATTTTGTTTTTAGTTTTCATAATTTGAAAATCATTTCTATGTTTTTTCTTCAAATCACCTCGGATAGAGAAACTACCTAACCAACCATTTAGTACTTAAATAGATCTGCAACTTTGTAGCCCCCGAGCCCCCGGGCAATTCGGGCAGAATCGTCTAGGAGTTTTGTCAGCGGGCGTGTGTGCGTGTTTTTTAGTCAAGACGGAGTCGTCAACCAAGGCGTCGTTGCGCAGCCGAGGCGGTTACTTTTAGGGATCGGGTGAGATGGACTCATGGATCCTGGTGCCGATGCGCGTCATGGGATTGGGCGAGTCAGAGTTGTTGATCCTGGCGTCGGTGCGCGCCGTGGGATCGGGCGAGTCGGAGCCGAGGCAGTTAGTTTAGGGATCGGATGAGACAAAGTTCGCGGATCCTGACGGCGCGAGTTCGGGGTCACAGACCCTAGGCGTTGGTGTGCAATCGAGGCGTAGCCGAGGGATGGGGCGAGTTTGGGGTCGTAGACCCAGGTGTTGGTGTGCAGTCGAGGCATAGCCGAGGGATGGGGCAAGTTCGGGGTCGCAGACCTAGGTGTTTTGGGTGTCTTTGAGCCCCCGAGCCCCGTTGGGCTTGGTAGGGGTCGGTTTGAGTCGTGTGCGTTACCCCACCCTCGGTTTCTCACAACCGTAGGGGCTGAGCTTTGTCGCTTGCCTCGATCGCTCAGGCTCGAGTGACGTGCTCGGTGAGCTCACTAACGGGTATGATCGAGTGGAATCTGGGTCCATCGTTCATGACGGGGTTAGCATAGCCCTCTTGTGACATTCCACTGCTCCTTTACCTGCAACCCGGTAGATGCCTGGGTCGTTCCAAAGACCGACCTAGGTGGCCCGCTGGGCCCCCCTCGATGGAGATTCTGTGGGTTTGGCGAGAGGTTTAGGATCGAACGAGAAGGTTAAGATGACCCTGTCCGCTTTGGGGCAGAATAGGCGAGGGCCGCATGGGCTCATCTGCGTTTTCTCCCCTGGCTCTATTTGATGCGAGACGGCCTTGAGCCCTTCGTGGGCCAGCCTTTGAGCCCTCAGTCGGTCATTGCTCATGCTGAATGAGGCAACTGCCGCTTCGTGACGCAACACGGAGCGTTGTGATGCATTTAGTTGCATGTGCGATGCCTTAGTTCCCGAGCCCCCAGGCAATTCAGGGCTCGAATCGTCCAGGGGGGCATGGGCGTATGGAATGAATGCGTGTATGAATGTATGAATGATTATATAAAGAAATAGTGGGGGTCGGTAGTGTTACCTTGATGACTCAAGTGATGGGGTTTGAAGAGCTCCAATCAGAAATGTCCGACCAGGACCCGTGCTTGTCATTCGTGACGGAGTCGGCATGGCCTACATGGGGCGTCCCTTTGCTTCTTACCTGTCTCTCGGTGTTTTCCTAGGCCGTTTGATCGACTTAGGAAGCCCGATGGTCCCTCCTGGCAGAGATTCCGTTGTTTGGGTTTTTCCAAGTCCCGCCTGGGAAGGCGGAGAGCCGCCTGCTCGTGGTGGCGCTTTGGTTCTTATGCCCGGCGTGCGGTAGTGGTGGGCCATACCCAGGCCACGTCCCGTCTGACCAGGCGTCGTTCCATCGGTCAGTGGGCATCCCATCGGTCAGGGCACGTCCCATCGTTTCCTGTCCACATTGAATGGGAGAAGGGAGAGTTTTTCACTCTGATCCTTTGCCCTTCTTCAGCTGCCACATTTCCTCCTTAAATAGGGGAAGGAGAGGGCTTCTCATCGTAGTCTTTTGCCTATTCTCCAACTATCGCCTCTCCTCCTTCCTCCTCCTCACTGAGAGTGCCTGTATGCCACGGCGGTTCCTAAGTGAGAGAGAGGGTAAGCGAGGGGGAGGAATCATAGATTCCTTCATGAATCCGGAGCGCAATGTCGAGCTTGAGGCTGCCCGAGGTGGTGCTGGCCATCTTTGCCTGAGAAGGGGCGGCTTCCGCCGAAGGAGGTGGCGCGCTGGATTCATCTGCGAGGCCTTTTTTGGGATGGAGCCGTGCGTGGATTCTTTCCGGTGGATCTTCACCGGGCGAGCTTTGTCGGAGGGGAAGTTGCCTAGGATTGTGCTAGTGGAGAGTTTCGTGCCTGTAGCTGCTTAGGTTGGCCAATTCATAAAGTTTGATGAGATATCTTCTAGCCATGGTGGCCATACCTCGGTGGCAGCGTCTGAAAGCTCTAGTTTGGTTTTGGTGAATTGATGAAACCCTAAGTGCTAACCTAGTTTATCAAGTGATCATGAGATAGGTAGCACACTCCAAGTGGTGAAGCAAATGAAGATCATAGCATGATAAAGATGATGGCATGGTGATGATCAAGTGCTTCGACTTGGAAAGAAGAAAGAGAAAAACAAAAAGCTCAAGGCAAAGGTATAACTTGTAGGAGCCATTTTGTTTTAGTGATCAAGACACTTAGTGAGTGTGATCACATTTAGGATAGATAGCCGTACTATTAAGAGGAGTGTAACTCGTATCGAAATGCGGTTATCAAAGTGCCACTAGATGCTCTAACTCATTGCATATGCATTTAGGATCTAGTGGAGTGCTAACACCCTTGAAAATATTTGTGAAAATATGCTAACACATGTGCACAAGGCGCTTTCGGGAAAATGAAATGTCTATTTTCTATTGCGCCGGATGCAAAATTCTTGGTGGTTGGCACACTTGAGCAAGGGTGAAGAAGTAAGAGTTGAAATGGAGTTGATCGAAATGATGCTGGCGTCGGTCCTGTGACCGGACGCTGAATCCAGAAGCACCGGACGCTGACTGCCTGTGTCCGGTCGCGCTGACTCGGCGGTACAGTGGCTAGGGGTTGAGCACCGGACGCTGTCTGCGTCCGGTCAAGGTGGACCGGACGCGTCCGGTCGAAAAAACATGCCTCGGGGAGCTTACTGGAAACGACCGGACGCTGGGGCTTCAGTGTCCGGTCAGTTTTACCAGAGCGTCCGGTCAGCTTCGCGACCGTT